GTAGGCGGCAGGGAACTCGGGCGCTGAACTGGCCCCGTGGCCCAGCAGGTCAGGGGCGATCACCTCGTAGCCGAGGTGTGAGAAGAAATCGAGCTGATTGGCCCAGATATCTGAGGACCCACCCACCCCGTGGAGGAAGAACAGCGCCACGTCCGCCTGGCTGCCCTTGCAGCTGGAGATTCGCTGCTCCATGTCGATCAGCACCGTGCGTTTGGGCCTGCGTCGCCGGCGGCTTGTGGGAGGTGTAGTCCCAGGCCCTGCAGATAGGGCGGCGCCCATCTCCACCTCCAGCGTGGCGCTAACCTCGGTAGTGTTCCCGTCCTGGCAGTGCAGGATCTCGGAGCGGGGCACTTCGGCCAGGTTCTCAATGAGCAGCTGCCCGCCGCGATACACGACGATCTTCCGCTTGCAGCGAACGCTTACCCCTGGTGGCACATCCACCTCCTCGCCAGCCGGCCGCTCGGGAACGACGTGGCGCACTCGCAGCACCCGGCCCGGCTTCACCTCCACGAACTCGAAGCCGTCGCTGGTGTCTGGGGCTCGGAGACGCACTGGCGCGTTACTGTACTTCGCCGTCAAGCAGCACAGCAGACCCTCTACAATGCCCATCAGCATAGTGCCCGCCTGCAGACACACAGAAATATCACATGCTTAGCCCATGTTTCTGTGACATTCAATTGATTCAGAATCGCTAGCTGACCTAAGGAATACATCCTCACACAGCAGCGAATGAGTGGAGGGCAGCTGGCCCTAGCCTGAATGCCATCATTAGTCTCTTGGAAGCATGACAAGATGATGCTGAATTGCTGACCGAGGTCAACGGTCGGACATGCAGTTACCAAAGCGCACCAGCAGAGGCAGCGCTGAAGCACGACATGCAGCCAATCCCTGCTGGCTTCTCCTCTCACATTCACCTGCTTCCTTTACTCTCTCTAAGGCCAAAACAACAGCACCCTCAATAAGTTATTATGTACTGATGCCACCACATCAGTACTTATTATTATTATTACTACAACAACAACAGTAACTTCAATCCAATAGACTGGGCTCTCCTCTAACTGACCTCTATATAGCACTCAGATTCACCTAGGGATCAGCTACAGCAGGATGCTTCTCTGCAGTAAGTTTTCTGTGCACCCAGTGGCTGTAGCAGATCCTCCCAGTCCCAGTCGTCACCTCAGTGTGGCTGGGACCAGCCCGGTCAGCACGCACAGGCAAACACAGAGATGGAACCCGGGTTACTGGCACTCCAGGACAGTTCCGTGGCTCTACTATTCTACGCCTATCGCATTACGGTTGTGCAGACGGTCTTTGTAAAGGACACGCAGGAAGGTCATTTTTAAGCGTTGGCCCTAAGAGCTACCATACACCGACTTAATCATTATTTTGTGCATCATTAATTGCCCTGATAAAAAGCGCTAAGTCCCAGGATCAACACAAGGTAATACGGTGCCTGTAATGCGGGCATATTGCAATAACAAGACCCGTCCAGCAGGCTGAGGGCTGCACGGCAGTCCGCTTCTGCAGTAGACATCTCACTGCTGCGGCACCCACTTGCCAGCGCTGCCGCAGCATCCCCTTTGCGCAATGGATAGCCTGAACCCGCTGGCCAGAACACAAAACTAAAAACCTCCGATGAAGACACGGCACTAGAAAACCGCGCCGCAAACGCATATTAAAGCCTGATGGAGGGGGACACGTGACAGGTGTCAAAAATCCCGAGGGAGATCTTACCTGATTCACCGACGTTTCCAGCAGAAGTGGAAAAAATGACAGATGACGAACGAAGTTTCCTTTATTTTCTCAAACGCCCACAAAACCGCAGCCAATCCAATACTCAAATTTTACTGGAATCTGCTGCATTTAAACTGGTTCTCAGGACCCCGTTGGGAGTTTACCTGTTAGTATGGAAATTAGTTGTAAATGGTGGCGAACCGGGGTGCGCAGGTGCCGCTGCGCCATTGACCCCCTGCGGAGCCATTGGCAGGATGATCATGCGGTGAATCAAAGCACCCATCAGCCGGGTTGGACAGACCCGGACTGATTCCCCCTCTTTCATCGCCTCTACACGCCGCATCGGCGAAGCCCCGCCGCTCCTTGTGATTTACAGCGGTGTTGGCCAATCAGTTGCCGCTATCAGTACAGAGTCTGCCAATGAGGCGTCTGCAGTCTCTGTTACCGAGGCAGGTGGAGGGACGACCGGGCACAGCGAGACTCTTCCACTCGGAATGTACCATCCCCAGGCTGACCCAGATTAGTCGCCTACGCGCATCGATTGTTCTATATCTTACTTGCAGTTCTTATGCAAATCTGTTTCTGTACGACCCGTCCTACGGTTATTCGTGTTTCTTTGCACTGTTTAGAAACAAAATTTATCATTCACGCCGGTTTATCCAAATATTCTTAATTTTTTTTAATTAATAACATTTATACTTATGTATATTGTTGAATCAAAATACATTTTCTGTACCACAACCGCAGTGAGTGCTCTAGTTGCTAAGCAACTGTCTCCAAGAGATTTTGTTAGACTATGTTTACGTCTTGCATACACAACACAAATAAATTTAATAATGTTGTATAACCATGCATATGCAAAAAGAAAAAAAAAAAAAAAAAACCATGCATATGCAACATTTTATCATTAAATAAACGGCCTTGTAAATGAGCATCATGTCCATTTTTATTTGAAAACAATCATGTTTGACATAATTAAACAATAATATATTTAGTCGATGACTATGGTTCTTTTTAGAACGATAGTCACAGGCGACAACAGTGTTTCACCAGTGGTACAGAAACCATTTCCACAAACACCACAAGCAAATATGCCGCACCACCTTCTATAATAGAACACCGTTTTACGCATGCGCAGATACACTCGGACGGCTCTGTTCTAGGACCAGTTTTCTCTGCTAGCAATCCTCAATTAACCTTGCTACGAGGAGCCACGACTGATCCCAGATCGGTGGTAAATTTCGACCTTGGTGGCGGAAGGACGTCCGTGACTAACTTCCTGTTCTTATTGCCCTGATCGAGATACAGCCGTAGCTGCAAGCGTAAGGAATAGAATAACAGAAATAGTCATGAAAGTAGAATGAGCAAGTTAGCCACTGTCCAATAATAAAAACGAAGTTAAACAAAAATGAATGTACTAAGACCAGCAGCCCGCCTGCTGTCTGGAATTGGATGGACGCCAATCAGGTACATTTACTTTAGTTTAGTAGATGGCCCACCATGGCGTGGACCTGGGAGTGTGTATCTTTAGTTTTCTGTATAAATCAGTGTTTATTGGTCTTGGGTGAATTGTCGTGTAAAGGGACCGGTCTTTTTTTTTTTCTACAGGACCCCGCTTATGCAGTTGCTTGATTCCGGCGCTTCACATACTCGGGCAGTTAGCAGCTGGGTACCATTCGGGACTGCAGCTCAGCGTCTAGGTGGCGTGTTCCAGTCTCTGCCTTGGGCTTGCCAGCAGGTACGGACAGTCAAGCGCGGCACCGAGTACCAGCCCAAGAACATCAAACGAAAGAGAACCCATGGCTGGCTGAAGAGGATCAGCACTCGTGGCGGCATCGAGGTGATTCTAAGAAGAATGCTCAAAGGACGGAAATCTTTGACGCACTGATCAGGCCCTGTTGTGTGTCAGACTATGTGGGACATCTTATCTGTGGGTTTGGACCTGCAGATGTGAAGTAACTCCGCGGAAAAGCAACCCTCCGAGACATTATTAACTTAATGGAGTGAGGCTTGCCCTGGGACTCATTCTTCATATTGTGTCGATAAATAAAGTTAAGCTCAATCCAGATGAATGGTTTTCGAGTTTGTCTATATTTCTCAGTTTGGTAAACATTTATAACTGGTTTGGCGTAACTGGTTTACTGTTGCCTATGTATACTAAATTGCCAGTATTAAGATGTCCTGTATAAGTATTAGGACAGTGTTGGCTAGGTAAGTAAACACAAACACAAAAATGGAGGTGGTAGGTTTAGGTACTCAACATGTACACAAGTTTCTTATACGCTTACATCTCGCTCATGTCATTTTGAAAAGCATTTATAGAATTAACATCTGTATTCGGTGCAGATATGTTGCCTTTGATAAAACATCTGTATGCATGTTGGATTACAACGACACCTATAGGTGCGGTAAAACGAACTTTAAAAATGTAGAAAGTATGAAGGTATAATATGTTCTGTCATTCACACCAAGGAAAACGGTAATGATATTTATAATATTTGGGTGTGACCCAATAGGATATTATATACAGTGCTTGGTATACGAACTTTGTTTGAAATACGACTTGCGTGCTAGAATTTCTATGGGTCAAAATGACTCACGGCACCGCGCGCTACCCTTGTTTACCTCAATCGAGACAAAGCCACGACTGCCCACGAGCGTTAGTACGCCAGTTGCTACCATTCAGTGAACCCGTGCTATAACTCTTTTCATTTATTTAATCTAATTGCTTTTGTATTTTAGTATTAAGCAGTGTTTGATCTGGAACGGATTAAGGACGTATACCGAGGTACCACTGTAATTGCAAAAAGATATTATTGGACCCGATGTGAGTTAACCAGTATTTAATTTACTAAAAGAAACTTTCATAATACTCATCAAGTACAGTTGCAGCCGACAAGGAATCTAATAAAAGTTAGCAGGATCAAATCCGAAGCTTAACTCGGCAAATATATTCATAATATAAATACTCAGAGGCAACCTTTATATAGGGAGCTCTCAGAGACTCGTTTCATTGCCTGCAACTACTGCCGAATGCGGTACTGTTGTGCATTTGATAAACTTTGATTTGATTTGGACTTCACAAGTTAATCAACACGTTAATCAACTAGTGCCGAACTTCCGCACACGTGACTCATAGATATCTCAACCTATGTTAATTTTCTTAGCGGTGGTTTATGATTGGTAGTGAGTCACAACGCAACGTCTGAAACGACGGTTGGTAGCCAATCAAAATTAAGTCTGGGTACCAGGAAAAATGACGTAAAGGTGCTTCCACGGCTATTGGGCGTAAAGAATCAAAGATGGCAGGTTCTAGCTAGGTGGTTGCTATAGTGCGAAAAATACATTTAATTTTCGTGTAAATACATACATATTCACGGTCTTATGTACTAAAGCACGTTGTCGTGTTTTCTTTTGTTTCTCACCGTTCAAGCGTGTTGTTCATACGGTGTATGGTTTCATAGCTGTAGTCTGCTTCTTTTTTTATCGCTAGTTAGCTAGCAGTCCGCTAGCAGAACGACGGCACGGCAGCTGCCTAGCAGCTTATAATAGTGGCGTCGCCCGGATATTTCGCAGTTAAACCCCCGAACTGCTTTACTTTGACCGTCGCAGCCCAGGAAAACATGGACAAGGTGAGGTTCTACATATTGTTCTGCCTGTCAGCTGGACACTTTTGTCTTTTAGCCGTGTATCGCCCGCTTCTGCGTTAGCATGTCCCCCTGCTGGTTTGGTAGCTAGTAAGCCTGTCCGGTATTTGGTCATCGGTTGTGTGATAAGAGACCGTTTTGGTCCGTACGGCCTATTTTACCCAGTTACATGAGGCTTTGACATGTCCTCGGTATTTTATCTGGCGGTGCGGTCCCGGCTGGTAGTGCTTTGAACGGTGCAAAGTAGATTGGCTAAAGTATAAGCCGCAAATCAATAAGACGGTACCATGAAGCGGCGATTTGGGGAGAGAGTCGCGATTTTACGTTTGTAATCGTTTAAAGCGGAGTAGGCAGTGCTACGTTGTTTATGGATGCAGCCAGCTGATCATAGGCCAACGCCCCTAATCCTCCCTATGCTCCTAATAGGAGCTGTGTGTTTATGGCCTTCTCGTTATATTAAAATCAGTGTTAAGAATTATAGCATTCCGGGATCCTCGTAATTGTGGCATGCCTGTCATCCCATAACCCACTTCAGTAGGGTATGCTTGTAATCTGATTCTCTTTATGATATCTGACATGTTATGGGAATATGGGTGTATCTGTTGGGTCAGCTAGATTCCGTGTTGATCTCAAATATCAGACCGAGTGCTATGGGGAGCCTGGGCACTGCTTTGCTGTTTGCTGCCGTTACCACTGGCTGCCCGATCTCCTGAAAAGGTTCCAGTTAAGGGTTGCTTTTGTGTTCAGTGGTACTTCAGTGTGGTTGCTAATGGCTGGCTCTCCCTGCAGGCGGACTTCCTGAAAGGGCTCCCCGTCTACAACAAGAGCAACTTCAGCAGGTTTCACGCAGACTCCGTCTGCAAGGCGTCGGTGAGCGCTCCCTTTCCTGGCAGGCGGTGGGGGTGGGGTTATGCAGCTGCACTCTGGACGGGGTTTGACAGCTGCGGGTTCTGTTGGGCTGTAGTGGGTGGTGCTGAGGGCTTCTAACTGCATGTCTTTGGGAAAGTGAGGATCAGGCTTTTTCTGCTGTTAAATGCCTGTGAATGTTTATTACAGAACAGGAGGCCATCGGTTTACCTTCCGACGAGAGAGTACCCTTCCGAGCAGAGTGAGTGTTTCTCTGCCTCCCTGTCTGCCCGTCTGCCCACCCCCACCTGTCTCCCCCCTGAGCCCCACTCTTATTTCTGCCCCAGTGTAAATTCCTAATATCAATCTTGCTGTAATCATTCTCTCCTTAACCGCTGATGTTTTGACCAGACGCTTGCATCACATTTAGGTAAAATGTGTTCATTTTCTCCCCCTTGCAGTCATTGTCACAGAGAAGACAAACATTCTCCTGCGATACCTTCATCAGCAGTGGGACAAAAAGGTTGGCCCTCTTTATACCTTGATGCTTGTGCCTATAGATGTTGGGAGATCTCAGCTCATCGGACGCCATGTTTTTTTTCTCTCTCTGACAGAATGCCGCCAAAAAGCGGGAACAGGAACATGTGGAGGGGGAGAGTCCCGCCCCTCCTCGGAAAATTGCTCGGACAGACAGCCAGGAGATGACCGAGGACACTTAAAAGTTGCAGTGCACTGCATTCAGACACACGCACACCATCATACATGGTAGCTCACGCATTTGGCCAGCGAGATGAGCAGCTCATGGACTGTTTTTCTGAATGTGGGAATGATGCCTGTATAAAATGTAGTCATGTTTGTATTCAGTTTGTTTTTTAATATTTTACTTCTAGCTGAGTTTCCACTGTGCTTCTACAGTGCTCTTCTGATGCAGTGCCTGGCTTGAACCACAAGTGGCCGCCATGCAGCCCTTTGTTCCATCTCCTGTCTGACCATGAATGAGGTTTTAGATGAAGAGTTTCTTCTCCTGTACTCAAACTTAATGTGATTATATGTTGTTGAAGTTATGAAGAATTTGTGCCAGGTCTTGCGGTTTAGGTCTCCTCCGATTCCCGGCTTACTCGTATACTTTGGGCTTAGAATAAAATATGTTGTTTTTCAGGGTTGGGTCCTTTCTCTTTACAACAGCTTTAAAAAAAAAAAAAATAGTTGCCAAACCATTATTTATACATACATGTTTTCCAAATATAAAGATTAAAGCTGGTCTATCCGAGTGTGATCCTTAGCGCCCCCTCAGTTATGTGTGGGCAGTGTAATTAACCTGCGGCAGCTTCCCTGCCATCCACCACACCAAGCTGATGTGTAAACCCTGCAAACGTACCAGCAACTGACCCCAGCCATTTTGGATTTGTGTTTCACTTTATACCCCCCATCCATTTTGTTGGATGACAAAAACCCTTTTTATTTAAATTCCGCATTTGGTACCAGCTACAGGTAGGTACATGTTAGTGATGGCTAAAATGAACCATTTGCTGTACTTGCTGACCCCACTAGGTGGTGCTCTCTTTTCGAAACAGTACTGAAGGCATGCCCCAAAGCAAACCACGTGCACCATCTAGTGCGGCCAGAAAATACAGCCAATGGTTCGTGAAGCATCCTTTTTGTCAACACTAGTACATGTTGATCATCCATGTCATTAATAAACTCCACTGGTTTTAGTCTGTGGCAGCTCAAAATGGCACCAACACCTCTGTGATTAGTAAGGGTGTGAATTCCTGAATTTTCTTTTCAGTCTGTCATTTTGCTGCTCCTGTCTTACAGATCTAGTAGTTGTGAGTCCCCTTTTTCTGTTTAGGCGTAAAGAGTGGAATGGTAGTGTTCTTTTGTACCTCAGTGCCTTTGTTCCGGGTAGTAAAATGGGTTAATGATGCTTATTTTGGCTGTGAATGTGTGTCATTGAGCTGCAGTGAAAACGTGGGGCTTGTAAACAGCATTTACAGGGGCCTTAGAGCATTTGGCAGGTTCTGTTATCAGAAGATGGTGAGAGACTGTGTCTGCTATGCAGACTTCCTGTCAACGAGGCTGCTGTGGCTGCTTCAGGTGGGATGGGGATTCCTTATAGGGATGATTCTTTGAACGTAAAGCCCCTGTTTGCTTCTGAATATGTCAATCCTGTGAACTGGATTTCTCTCACCTACCTGTCCTTTCTGAAAGCCATGGCCTTTCCAGTATGTGGAGCAGAACGTTCGAGAAGGTCCCCTGTGAGATAGCAGGCGACGCCTTAGTCCTGTTAGTATGGGCCTTCGCATGGAAGGGGAACTGGCTCCTATTACACAGTGAATGCTTGCTTTTAGGAGTGAGAGTGTGAGTGGTGGTGGTTACAATCTGTCTCAGTCTTTGCTGGGTGTGTACAGCCTGGTCTGTGCTGTTATAAATAAACGTGTAGGAATTTGGGCAGAAGTGTTGTTTATAAGCAGCTAAGCTGGAATTGTCCCAGGGTCCTTGTTAATACAACTCTGAAAATAACAGATCTGTTGTGGGCAATCTTGAAGGGTGATCTGTTGTAGCGGATATATCAGTATGAACAGCATAACAGGGAAAAGTTTTCTTTTTAGTAATGTTTATTTCCAGGTTTTACAGAAATAACCAGGAAGTCAGAATGTTTAAATTAGGATTTTTTTGTGGACTGGGGACTGACACGTGAGCAGGAGCCCCTCTCAGCGACTGGGGGCATCACGCTGGTGCGGTTAGACTTTGGACCTGTATTCTCTCTGCCGGCAGAGTGATCATTCCCTTCATCGTCCCCCCAGAAGATGATTTTTTTTCCAGCCGCTGTGTGGAAGTTTGAGCTGGCCAGCCGCTTCCACAGCTCCCAGGAGGAGCGGCCTGTTAATCCGGTTGCGGAGACCCCAAAGTTGAGGCCCCCGGAGGGGCTGGCTTCCTCTACAGTTGGGGGTGACGTTGGCTCCATGTCAGGGTGGGTGGGACCGAGCTTCCCTTCCCCCCCCCGTCACTCAGTTTCTTTTCTCCTCTGCTGCTCCTGTCTCTGGGACAGGCTTGCGCAGAAAGTCACTAGGGATTGCAGTGGTTGCTGTGAGCTAGATTTTCTGTAACCCTGGCCGGCTGGTCACAGGACCTACCCTTAGAGCAGGGGTTTCCAACTCCGGTCCTGGAGAGCTACTATCCAGTCGGTTTTCAATCCTACCTGGCTTATGATGAGCCACACCTGTTCTCAGGTAAATACCAGGGCCAGATGTGGCTCATCAGAAGCCAAGTAGGATAGAAAATCTACTGGATTAGTAGCTCTCCAGGACCGGAGTTGGAGACCCCTGCCTTAGAGCCTCTCTATATGGATACTCCAGCTTGGCCTTCTCCTCCACCACCCAGGCAGGGACATCCTGGACGGCCACCTGGGTCAGGTACATGAGCAGGAGTGCCAGGTGCTGCGTAAGAGAAAAGTCATTCAGGAGACTTGTGGTGGGGATGACGGGGAAGAGACAGATTGCATCCTTTGGCAATTATTCAGATTGCATCTCCCACCTAGTGATGGGCAAAATGACAACTCCAATTTCGAACCATTTGCTGTATTTTTTGGTCCCCACTAGATGGTGCTCTTGGCTTGAGGTATGCTTTGAGCCCTTCTTTGAACAGATGCCATACCTCAAGCCAAGAGCACCATCTAGTGGGGTCAAAAAATACTGCACATGGTTCATGAGGCGTACTTTTGGCCATCGTTACTTGAAACTCTACGATGACAACTCGCATGATGGCGGTCTCCAGGGTCAGCTGTGGCGGATCTTGGGCTGCACAGGGCGGTCGTTGCCCGAGGGCGCAGTTGTTAGCCACCCGCTTGTCAGCTAGCACTGCGGAAATGGACTGGGCCACATGGGTGAAGTGTGAAGCGTAAAGGCCTATATCAGCATTTGAGCGTCTTATGGGTGCGTGACCCTAGTGTCAAGCTGCCTGTCCTCCCTACACACTGGCTTCATGAACAGTGCTCCCAACGCCAAAGGGCACGTTTAATTTTCATGCATTTATTTAAAAACTCTTTTTTGTCCCACACTCAAAGGGTAAGAAACACTACAGATACAGTGCATCCACAAAGTATAGATCCCTTCACTTTTTCACATCTTATGATTTTATGCTAAAACATTTAAACTCGTGTTTTTCCTCATAAATCTGTATTCAATATGCTATAATGACAGTGAAAATAGGATTTTAGAAATTTTGGCAAATTAAAAATAAATCACTGATTGACCTATGTATTCAGACCCTTTGCTAAGACACTTTAAATTTGGCTCAGGTGCATCTCATTAATATCGATAATCTGTGAGCTATTTCTAGCTATTTCTTTTTTGCAGTTCACCTGTGGTTTATTCAAATGATTGGACACAAGCTGGAAAGGCGCATAACTATTCATAAAACAGGGGTGGCCAATCTTGTCCACAAAGGACCAGTGTGTATGTGGGTTTTTTCTGCAACTGCCTAATTAGTTTACTAATTAGAGGACTGATTGGCTGAAGAGTCCTTTCACCTGGGTTTGATCAGCTGATCTACAGGTTATCCCAAAAACCTGCACACACACCGGCCCTTTGCGGATAAAATTGGCCACCCCTGTCATAAAAGGTTGCACAGTTGCCGATGTCTTTCAGAGCAACACCAAGCCATGAGATGGAAGGAATTGTCTGCAGAGCTCTGAGACAGGATTGTGTTGAGGTACAGATCTGGGGTAGGCACCCAAAATATTTACAGCATTGACAGTTCCTAAGACTACATAATTCTTAAAATGGAGGAAGCTTGTAAAAACCAAGACCCTTCCTAGAGCTGTCAGGAGAGGAGGGTCTTGGTAAAAGGTGATCAGGAACCCGAGGTCACTGATTTTTGGAGATGCAGTATGGAGCCTCAGGTCTAAGTGTCATGGGAGTTTTACTTACACAAGAATGTTCTGAGGGCAGAAGGAAAAATTATTGGTTCAGAGAGGTAACCAATCAGATGTCTTGGGCTCACCTCCTCTAAATCTGATTGGTAATCTCTCTGAACCAGTCATTTCATTCTGCCCTCAGAACTTTTTTTGTGTAATCTAGAATTAGGTGATTAGGGGTCATTGTTGACACACCACAGCACACAGTGCACAACGTACTGTGTCCTCTGCATTTAACCCATATGTGACATTGTGACAGCAGGGGGCAGCTGATTCAGTGCCTGGGGAGCAGTGCTTGGGGGCGGTACCTTGCTCAGGGTACCTCAGTGGTGCCTTGCTGGTTGGGGATTTGAACCAGCAATCTTTCAGTTACAAGTGGGCCTCCCTAACCATTAAGACACTACCTATTAAAATTCCACAAATGAGGAAATCAGGCTCCGCTCATTACAGTGAATCATGGTAGCAACAGCATCATTCAGTGGCAGAGACTGAGAGACTAGAGAGAATCGAAAAGGAAAGCTGAACGGAACAAAGTACAGAGACTTCCTTAATGAAACCCTCTGGAACTTAGGTTAAGGTTTGCCTTCCGACAGGACAATGACCTCAAGCACAAACAAAAGACAAAGCAGGGGTGATTTAGGGACAACTCCGAATGACCTTAAGTGGCCCAGGCAGAGCCCGGACTTGAACCCAATCAAACATCTCTGGAGAGACCAGAAGATGGCTGTTCATCCGCAGTCTCCGTCCGGCCTCACAGAACTCGAGAGGACCTGCAGAGAATAATGGCAGAAACTCCCAAAATCAGAGTGTTCATACCCAGCAAAACTTAAGTCTGTAATTGCTGGCAAAGGTGCTTCAGCTATGTACTGAGTGAAGGGTCCGAATGCTACTATATTCTACTACTATAGTACATACTATGTCAATGGGACGTTTCAGTTTTTTTTTTTTTTTTTTATAAATTTGCAAAAAAACATTTAAATCCTGTTTTTCTTTGTCATAATGGGATCTCGAGTGTAGATTGAGAGGAAGAAAGAGCTTAAACATTTTTAACATAAGGTGGCAGCATAGCAAAATGTGACGTTCTGAATGCACTGCAAATCCACAGTGGGATGTGACCCAGAGTCTTTCTGGTTATAAAGTCACCAGATACCAGTGGTTCTCCTCCCTGGCTTATGCCAGCCCTGTTTGCAAAATGCTGTTTATTTCCTATGTCCTTGAGTTAAGATGATGAATCATCTTGAGCTCATCATAGAATTTGAGGCTCAACCCCTCCCTCCCTCCCTCCATCCCTCCATCCCACCTCTTTCCTCTCTTCCTTCACTTTCCAGCCTGTCTTTATCCTGCCTGGTGAAAGAGGCAGGTAATGCTGGCAGCAATACTGCATTCATACAGTGAATAGCCGTGTCGGTCCAGAATCTACTCACGCATATGCCCAGGAGGAGCCTTCTGCTCCGTCCGTCCCTGTTGCTGTTTCCTGTGTCCATGTTGACTCACACACCTCGTCAGTCACGTTTCAAATACATTGTCTGTGTTGCCTGTTTCTGACTTTACAGGCTTAGGATCATATGTTTATGACTAATCTGTCAGTGCTGAGACATACTTATTTACATTTTTGAGTCTGGAGGTAAATTTTAATGCAACTCTGTTGTACTGGTTATGGGGTTTAAATGTACTAATTGTTGTTTTGTGATGTGAATTGACAACTTTGTAAAATTTCTAAAATGTAATATTTATGTGGACTGTGTTTCACCACTAGGGGGCGCAATAGCTTAAGCTTCATGAGTGATTTGCTGTAATGTACAATGTACACTATATGGACAAAAGTATTGGGACACGTGGCCATTATACCTATAGGAACTTCTATGACATCCCTTTCTAAATCCATAGGCATCAATATGGAGTTAGTCCCTCCTGTACAGCTATAACAGCTGCCACTCTTCTGAGAAGGCTTTCCATAAGGTTTTGGAGTGTGTCTGTGGGAATGTTTGCCCATTTACCCAGAAGAGCATTTGTGAAATCAGACGCTGATGTAGTATGTGAAGGCCTGGCTCCCAATCTCTGATCTAGTTCATCCAAATGCTGTTTGACAGGGTTGTGTTCAGGGCTCTCGGGGAGCTCTTAAGTTCTTCCACTCAAATCTCACCCAACCATGTCTTTATGGACCTTGCTTTGTGCACGGGGCACAGTCATGCTGGAACAGAAAAGGACCTTCCCCAAACTGTTCTTTACATAGCTGGAAGCATAGAATTGTCAAAGAAGTCTTTGTTTCCTGAAGTATTACCAGATTCTCATCACTGGAACTAAAGGGTCCAACCCCTGAAAAACAGTCCAATACCATTATCCCTCCTCCACCAAACTTTACAATTGGCACAATGCAGTCAGGCAGGTAAAGTTCTCCTGGCATCCATCCAACCCAGACTCGTCCATCAGATTGCCAGACAGAGAAGCGTGATTCATTACTCCACACAACTCGCTTCCACTCCTCCACAGTCCAGTGGCGGTGTGCTGTACACCACTGCATCCAACACGTGGCTTTCTGTTTGGTGACATGAGGCTTGCATGCAGCTGCTCGGCCATGGAAGCCCATTCCATGAAGCTCCCAGCTCACAGTTTTCATGCTCAGGTTATTGCCAGAGGAAGTTTGGAATGCTGCAGTTACTGAGTAAACAGAGCATTGGTGACTTTTACACACCATGAGCCTCAGCACTCGGAGACCCCCCTCTGTCACTCTACATTTTCTGTCTCTTCATGGCTGAGTTTCTGTTGTTCCTAGATGCTTCCACTTTACAATAATACCACTTACAGTTGACTGTGGAATATCGCCGGGGCATTTGTGGAGAGGGTCCCGGTGTTCAGGTTCCTGGGTATTGAGTTGAAGGATGACCGGACCTGCAGTGCTAACACCAAGGAGCTGCTGAAGAAGGCGCAGCAGAGACTGTATTTTCTGAGAATCCTCAGGAAGAACCGTCTCCCAAAAAATCTGCCCCTTGCCTTTTTACCACTGTTCCATGGAGAGCGTACTTACGTACGGACTCTGCGTGTGGTACGGCAGCTGCATTTCTTCAGATTTGAAAGCTCTCCACAGGGTCATCAAGGCAGCGGAGAAAACATTTGGCTGCCCTCTCCCCACCCTGGAACCCTAACCCTAACCCTAACCCCTAACCCTAACCCTAACCTACCGATGCCGGAAAAAAGCCATGGACATTTCACAGGATTCATCACATCCCGGTCACTGTCTCTTTCAGCTTTTGCCATCAGGCAAGAGATACAGAGCCATGAAATCCAGGACAAATCGCCTGAAAAACAGTTTTTATCCCAAAGCAATCATGGCTTTAAATGCAAAACAGAACAGTTAATTTTTTATATTTCATCAGTGCAGTCTGAATATTCAGTGCGATCTGTATAGTCAATGCAGTATTCAATGCAATTTGTAATTCAGTGCAATATTCAGTGCAATATGTATATTTTTTATATATTTCATCACTCGTTTTATGCCTCACATTGAGTCGAATTGCATTTTCAATTTCGTTGTTCAAGTGATAATGACAATATAGATTATCTTTATCTTTCATTTTTATCTAGCAGGGAGGAAATTTCATTAACCGACTCATGGCAATGGTGACATCCTGTGACCAGGGCCATAGCCAGCTATGAGGTCGCTGAGGTCTGGACCTTGGTGATTTTTTAAGAGCTAAAAATGAAATTTGAAGCTAAATATTCACCTGAATAAACATGGGCTTGATTAGGCTAACTAACATTTCACATAAGGAATTAATTAGAAATAAAATAAGCTAAACACCTTGGGGGCAGTACGGTGGAGCAGTGGTTAGCCCTGTTGCCTCACACCTCTGAGACCTGGGTTCGAGTGTGTGAGTGTGTGCCCTGGATGGGTTGGTGCCTCATCCTGGGTTGTTTCCTGCCTCGTACCCGTAGCCTCTGGGATACGCTCCAGACCCCCATGACTTCAAACAGGATAAGCAGTTTTAGAAGATGGATGGAATAAACAGCTTATTAAGGATAAGATGTCTATAATGTAACTGATAAACCTCGTTCCTGCACATCACTATTTTTTAATTGATTCCAAAACAACTTCTATTTTGTTTCCTTTTTTGTTGAGTTTCATGAGTTTAATTAATTTTATGAGTTTTTGACCGTTTTTATTTGTTTGTACTTTTGTCTGAGCTCGATAATTTAATTTTCGTTTTTGTCTTTAAAAAGAAAGAAGCCCACAAATGAAAAGATGCAGTATTATTGTATTATTAATAAGGGCACAGCTTTAATTAACCCTGTAACCCCTTCTCACCTATTTATAAACACGCTTGTTGTAGCAGGTTAGGTGCATCTTTACAGTAGCTGGGCTCTTTCCAATAAACTTCCCTCCCCAAAACTCCATCGGTCACATCCACGCTGGGCCGGTGAGCACTGAGCATGGCCCAGGGAGAGAACCGTTTGAGCACGTCATGATGACACAGCACCACCTGCCCTATATCACCTATAAGATTGACCGGCCCTCCGTCTACAACACATCTGCTCTTATTTTGTTTCTGTCATACTCAAAATGGTTCCACACTGTGCTTTCATCTGAATGTCCAGCTTTCTGCATGAACGTGTTTAACTTCTTGAAACATTAGTTAAATTTGGGTGTGCCTATATAATTTTGCCAGTTTGATACGCTTATCATATGTTTGCAGTCAATTATTTACTGTAGAGGAGGAACATTTGACAAGTCAATATAGACTGATAAGCTCTAAGCAGGCTGTTAAATTCAAAAATAGAAGCTAAAAAATGTATGTCTACTCATTTTAATTTTATTTCTGTTAGTTTTCGAGTTTGTTATTTTAATTTCACTTAGTTTTCTTTTTATTCTGATTAACAGGAGGCTTGTGTTACCCCCGAGTGATTGCAGCTGTGAGAGGTGCCCCCTCCGTTGGGGCGCACGGTTGCTGATCCTTGGGCTTGGCCTACAGCCAGGCTGCCACCCCATCCTTCCCATGTCCAAACTGGTCACCAGTCACCCTGACCAGCGCATCAGGGCCCGTGACTGGAACCTGCACCCAGAGGAAGTGCAATCAGGACCGGCTCCAGGCAGCTGGAGGCAGGAAGAATGTTATATAAATGAACAGCCATCCCTCCGGTTCACTGGGGGCTATACGGACTGTCTGGGGGGGCCAGTTGGCAAGTCTGCAAGAATTCAGTCCGCACCCCTTTGTTTATTCCCCCGGACTCAGTCCCATGGGCTCTTGTTGAAATGGCCCCTCGGTCTCATGCTCTGGACCCAGGTCAGATGCTCTTAGCATATGGCTGTGAGTCTCTGTTGGGTCTGCAGGCCCGTTTCAGGGGCCCGGGTCCTGGTACATCAAGGCCGCCCTGAGGGTGGTTCCTCAGCCTCGTTTGTGGTCGGTCGCCCCTGGTCTGTGAAACACAATGATGTGATCATCATGTGATGTTGAATACCGTCCCCCCCCCCCATCCACATGTACATATTCTGGCCGCTCCGCACTAAGCGGGATATCCTGAGTACAGCGGAGATGCCTCCATCACCGGGCAGTCAGAGCCGTCCCACTGGACCCCCAGCTCTCCGTCCCAGCAGGAAGCCCCCAATTAGCATTAGCATTGTCGCCGCGGCTCGAAAGGAGACAGCGCTATTTGGATGATGATGTTTTCATCCCGAGTGACCCTCCCCGGTAGGTGCTCCCCCCTCCCCCAAGTCCTTTGAGGTAGATGTGTGAATGTGTCATGTCTTGCTCCCCCCCCCGGGTGACTTGTGAACCAGGTGGCCGTGTGCGTGCCGCCTAGGACAGATGACACTTGTTTGTCGTCCCCGGGAGCCGGGTTTGTTTATGCGCTGTGTGTTCTCAGCGCCGATGCCGGGCCGGACCCCATGGCAGCGTTTCTGTAAACACTGGTGCACCTCTCCTTCTGCCCCTCCCCACCCGGCTCTCTTCTTCGGTACATGGGCTGACCGACGGCTTGAACCCTTGTATTGTCCCCTTGACAGAAGTGGAGCGATTTGGCAAAAGTAACAAGCGTTCACTTTATGCACAAAGGGTACTTTATTGAATTATTTACATCATGTGAATTATTTTCGTGAATACTTATGCATTAAGCAACAGGTATGCAGTCAGGATTCCCCCCCCCCGCCCCCCCCACACACACACAAGCTCTATATTTATTGATGAATGACAAACAGGATTGCCTTGGTGATGTGTCTTCAAATGGTCACCAGAGTGTTCTTCTTTCTCCTGCTCGATGTGCATCCTGTACTCAGGTCTGAAACAGGATGGGAAGCACAAGCGAACAGAAGGTCAGCCCAGCGGTGTCGCCCAGCGAGCCCCAGGCGCGATTAAGCTTCACGGCCTCGCGTACTCACTCAGCGGCCCACGGCGTACTTCTGCAGCTCCTTCATGTGGCTCATCGTATCTGGGGAGGGAAGGAGGAGTCATCAGTATGAAGCCCACAGAGGCTGCATGCTCACCGCCTCCCTTGAGTTACGTGTCTTACCTCCGAACTCCGACCGTCCGGGTGGGACCAAACTGCCCCCTCCCCCGGTCATCCTAATGCAGGAGAGCAGGGAGGCATTCAGCCTCTGCTTCTCGCTATTGATGTGGTTCAACTCCAAGAACCTCAGCTTGAGCTGCTGCTCCTGGAGCTCCTTATCACTCTCCAGCTTCTTCTTGTCCTTGAGCATCTGCTCCTTTTCGCGGCCGTGCCTCTCCTGCTCCTCATGCAGGCGCCGGCTGCCCTCCTCCACCCTCGCCAACGAAGACTGCCGGCACTCCTGCAGTTCCTTCATCAGTTCTTCGTTTTGCGCCATCAGGTCGGTGTTGTTCTTCCGGATGTTGGACATGATGTGGCCCACGTGGTTCAGGTAGCTCTGGAACTTGGATTCCATTTCTCGAGACAGGCCGGTGCAGTTGGTATGAACTTGCTCCAGGTACATTGATCGTTTTTCACACGTGATGAAGAAGGTGCTGGCACAGCTGAAGAAGTTCTCGATCTTATCCAGGAAGGCCTTAGTGACGGTGCTGATGCCCCCTAATGCATTCACATAGTCCTGTTTACACTCCCGACTGAACATGGCGTGCGACTTCTCCATGGATGTCTTTTGCCGCCGAAGATCAGCATTGGACTGTTCGAGGCCGATGATCTTCTTTTTTGCTGTTTCTTGAGCTGTGTTTAGCTCCTGGCAAGTCTGGCTGAAGTTGAACTTTTCCCGAAGCAGCTGCTGGACCTGTAGGTTCGCCTTCGTCAATTCTGGCAGAGAGAAGAGAGACAGAGATGTTGAGGTCAGCAAGCGGCAAGCCAGGAAAAGATGTTCGTCTGTTTCCCAACATGGGAATGGGGGAGTGAACGACAGGCATCAGATGGCTGGTCAGAACTGGTCAGTGAACAGCAACAGAAACTGGTACCTCTTTGACAGTTATCAGGGACTGGGCCAGGAAACTGTCGTTTCTTGTGAGCTTGCATTTCGTCTTCACATGAATTCTGCAAATGGGAAGAAAATACACAGAACGTCAGATGGTCTCAATGACATGAACGTTAGAGATGATTGTTTAATTAGTGACATCGTATCTTTCACCACAAAAAGAAAGATAATATTCCTTTAAACGGATGGTTAGCTGTTGCTTTCCCTAACTCCTAATGTTTCCATTTATTTGCAAGAAGGACTCGAGTTACATAAAATTTTCAAATGGAACAACAAAATATTTGCTTTGAGCAAATGTATACGTCTTAATATTCATGCCAGTTTTGTCTATGCAGGACTCAGGATGGATTCCCCTATAAATATTCAGTCAAATGCCAGGCAGTCTCAGGCACAGTGGTGCGTCTCACTCGCAGGTGAGCATAGCTGAGCGGGTCTTACCAGCCTCTTCTGTAAGCCCTGAAAGTGAAAGTAGGAGTGATTGGCCATCGACCGCAGGCTGATCAGCTCCTTGTCTTTTTTGCCGATGGTGATGCTCGTCTCATTCAGCTTCTTGTACAGCATCACGCTCTGCTGCTGCAGGCTCTTCTTCTCCTCCATGAGCTTGTTGCAGCTCTTCTCCAGCTCCTGCACTCTCTTCTCCTCGCCCGAGTTCCCCGACTGGCCGTACACCAGGAAGAGCACCAGGCTGACGATGATGAGTGACTGAATCAGTGAAGAGAAAAATAAGACGATCTTCAGGTAGTAGCCACAACTTCTCTCCTTGGTCTTGTGAAGTTTTTTGGTATCCATAGGCAACTTGGCCTGCGTGTAACTCCTGTACATGGCTGCTGTTTGGCGTTTCAGACTTTTGGGATGGTTTCCAGGGGTGACCAGCTGACCTTGTAAGGTCCTGCACACTGTCCCCAGCAGTAATGTGTGGAGAGCATCGGTGGGGGGGGGTATATTTATAAACACTGATCCATAGCTCACACACAGAGACTCCACCCAGTTTCTTCGCATTAGTCGGGGGCTGATAATAACGCCCCACACCGACCTCAGCTGGTCCCCACCCCCACTTACAGTAAAACCCCCAGATGTCTGTGAGCACCTCAGATAACTGTCAGGTCTGCCTACTTCATTTTTATGATCTGCATGGAAATAAAAAGCAGTTCATAAAAAGCTGTAACAATTAGTAATATCTAAATTATTGTTATTGTTCTTCTGGTTATTATGATTAACAACAACGACAATAACAACAACAATAATAATAATAATCTTATATAATCTTCACCATCATCATCATATAATATTAGGAAATATGTACAAATTAGGATTTTTTTTTGGTTCAAATATTTGGTCCCTTGGTCTGGATGTCATTCAGGGTGAAGTGTTCAGATCTAATGCTTATAACTCAAATGCTTCTCTATTTGTTCTTATCTCAGTCAAGCCCGTCCCGACGGGCCTCTGCTCCAGCTCAATCCATCACATCCAGAACGTTCCGCAGTTTGCAGGGCTCGTCCAGGACTTTCCTGCCGTTATGTCGTCTCAGCCTTCGCAGGAAGCCGTAAATCAGGGAGGCATTTTGACCCATCGAGCTGCCAACCCCGATCTGAGATAAACTCCAGAACAAAAGACGGAAACGGCACACAGATGCTGATACTGCTCACCTGCCCAGATTTCCCAGGGGCTTCTCTGTACCCACAGTAGAGGGGAAAATAACTGCTAAAAAGACACAGAACATCCTAAGTGCAGGGTTTTTGTTCTTAAAGCTGGTTGGCATGATCCTGTACTGGGCGAGCAGCTGTGTAAGGCTTTATCCATCCAGATGGCTCACTTGGAGCTGCTGGTCGTGCCCCAGAGCCCTCTGATTTGTCACATGCATCAGGTGACCACTAGGGGGCAGAAACACCTGACAGGACATTAATTTCCCTGGCTGATTCCCTGTGATGCAGTTGATCTGTGGTAACCGCTGCCCCCCCCTCCTACCCCTGGCCATCCACCGTTTCCTCCCCGCCTGTTTCTCTGGATGTTTACGTTTTCTCTTCTTCCTGTGCCCAGAACAATGGCTACCTCTTCAAAACACAGGTCCCCTGGACTTATCAGTCAAGTGCCTTGTTTACGGCACATTTTGCCCTGTTATGACACTAATAAGTGCCTCCGGTTTTCAGATAAGACTGTCATCTGTGCTTTGTTTTTATCGTTGCGATTTTTCCATGGATTGATACCGAAAACAGTCATGCAAGCGCTCACTGAATTTCGATGTGTCATTTTTGGGAGCCTTGCCTTTCTAATCTGCTCTGCTGCCCCTGTAATAACGCCTCTGTGCTTCTAGGTTGACGTGAGCAATGCCACGAGTTCGGGCGGCACCCCCACACATCCTAAACTGCGACAGACATCCTGAGTGATCACCAGGCCCCCTTGACTGTCCCCCCCCCCCCCCACACCGCATGTGTAGCAATATAGATAGGAGTGTTGGAACGTCGCCTGAGTCGATGTGCCAGATCAGCCAGGGCGCTGCACTGAAGCTGCGTCAGTCCTTCTGATGACTTCACACTAGCCACGTTCGTGTTACTAACTGGTTTCTGCAAGGCAAATGATGTCATCACGAGGGCACCCTTCACGCTCAGGGATTCCCCTTAATGGTGCTGCCTGACACTTGATTGCCACTTGTACTCTGTTCTCATTCCCTGAACCCACCACTCCTGGCACCACGGGGGGGAAGATCCCCTCATTCAGACAAGTGGACCCCCCTCAAACCAATGCCCCACATCACCACCTAATTGGTAGTGCCACTTGTGCCCCCCGCCATGAAAATCTTCAGCCCACCTGTCAGGTTTGTTCTCGTACCAACTGTGGCCCAACGGGACCTTGGAACACACCGTACCGCATCGGCGTTTCTGTTATGGGTCTTCTAGGTCGGCCCTTTAACCGCTGCTGATCTACTCTGGTTATGTTTTAAGCTTTAAGGGTTTCCTCTTAACGGCGAACATGCCGTCCGTTTCGCTGTCTCTTTGTCTGCGGGATGTTTATGTTCACACAGGGTAGGATGACGCCTAGGACGTGCCGAGAGCTTTTTGTGAAAACGGCCTGTCCTATTGAGTAATCACAGGAAATCTTGGTCAGCACTGGCCACGCATTTATGGAGGACCCCCCTCCCTCTCAAACACACACACACACACACACACACTGTGTCACTGGAGACCATCAAATTGCCTTGACTCCTCCCTCAAAGCTTCCAATTTTCCTTTCACCTTTTTCAGTCTGGAACGGCCAGTTCTCTTAGGCACTGTATGTTTGCACGGCATGTTCATGAGGGTTCTGGGCTGGAATACACCTCCTGTGATGTGTGTGTTGTTAGCCACCCGCTACGTGTCCCTCAGCAGCCTGCAGGCTTCCTGGAGTGATGTAATAACTTAGGCCTGGAGGAGCGGAGACCATTTCCCCCTCAGGCCACCAGGGGGCAGCAAAGCACCTCTGTCCTTCATGGTTAAGGTGGCTGCATACTTCAAACGAATTCGACAGAATCAATGTTGTTTTCGCAATATGACATTGTACAAGTGATGACTAGTGCACCGCCTGTGATGAGCACCAGAAACAAACTTATTTGTTTGTTCTGATCCTACCCGCTGTCCACGATTGGCTGATGAATAATGTGATGCCTCAGGGTTGGTTAGCAGGACTAATTATGCAGTTACCAGCATGCTTTGCACCACACTGCACTATCTATAAATAGTATAAATTAATATGTGAATTTGTATACTTATATACATGTAATTAGTTATGTAAATAGTTAATGTCATAACCGTGTAATGTTCACCACGGAACGCTTCTGTTTCGTTAGAGCGTGACCATGAGTGTCGTGTAAATCGCTGCCTTCCCTGTCTGTGCTGCTGCTAGTATTAGGCCAATAGTGGCCGTTAATAAAGAGCTACTTCTTTAAAAAGGATGTCATCCCATCCCCTTTATTAAAATGGCTCACACACTCCCCACAATATGTTTATCTGCCCTCTGTATGTGGGTCTGCTGCAGGTAAAACATTCTGTGCCCTCTAGGGTTGTGGAGTGACATCAACAGGGTAGCCGCATCATTTCAGGTATGCACCACATTGATCTCTCCAACATGTTTGATTTGTCTAGATGTCGTGTGCAGTGCGCAGCCGCCTGTACTCTCCATATCAGGGCTGCTGTACCTCAGGGAGACAGGCCTAAACCTCACTGATAGTAATTGACGTTATCCTGATAGCGACTGAGAGCAGGCTCTGGACGTTTGCTGCGTACGTACCGGCCTTGGTTTGGACTGTCCCCTGTGGGTGCCTGTACCCCCTTCCTCACCAGATGATCATCTTCTTATGAGTTCTGGAGTCCCATTTATGTTTCGCCACTAACTCGGTGGTCACTGGTCAATTATAGAATAGAATAGAATAGAATAGTGATATTAATCCCGGTGGGGAAATTCCCGTTTGCTGTCCATGAGACACCTATACAGGCCAAAGAAAACTTGGGGGTCACAGCGCAGGGAGTCACAGCACAGCGAGTCACAGCACAGGGCCAGCTAGTGTGCAGTGTTCCTGTGCCCAGGGGCCTTGCTCAAAGGCCCGCAGATATTTGACTGTTCTCTCCTACACTGTTGTCCATGTCTCACAAAACCCTGGTTTCCTTCTGGATCAGCGGTTGTCCCAGGAGGAGGGGGAATGAGTGGCAGTCACGATTAAACATTCTCAGAGTTTCATCGCACCTGAAACCATGATCCTTCCATTTCCCTCCGGAAGCCCGACTCACCAACCAGCTGTCACACCCCAACCGCTGCATGCGAGTGGCACCGGTGCCAGCCATCCACGCAGCTCAGGGCCAAAGCTACCAGAGGCTAAAATCTCTCAAACTGAGCTGATGGGAGCGCCAGGTACCACCTTTACAGTGTTGCTGCCTGGAAGGGCGAATGTCCTCATTGGTCAATTCCCTGGACCAGTGACCTGATTGGTTTGTTCATATACGTGTCACAACACATAAACATTCAGCAAAGATCTTTTAAATGGGGAGGAAACCTTGGTGTTTCAGGATGAATTAGCCTGAGAATTCAGAATGGGTCAAACCTTAAGCTTTCCCCCAGCTTGTGAGATGTGCGCGCGTGTGCGTGTGTGCGTGTGTCAGATATACATTACGTTGTGCCGACCAAATGTCCCCACAATGTGATAAAAACCTGTTATTTTGACATTGTGGGGACTATTTTTTCAGTCCCGGCAAGGGGAAAATCAATTTTATAAAAATCTATGAATGCAATCAAAAAACTAAAAATGCCAAAAATCTTGTACTTTGCTTTGTTACTTATGGTTAAGGTTATGGCTGGGTAGGGGTTAAGGTTGTCATAGCTGCGATTAGGGTTTTTGCCATATAAATGAATGGATGGTCCCCACAGAGATATGAATATGAACATTGTGTGTGTGTGTGTGTGTGTGTGCATGTGCCTGTGCGTATGTATGTGTGTGGGGCTATCAATGCCGGCGTTTTATTGGCTCAGGCTTGTGGGCGTCACATGTTCGTGGGTTAGTGTCTGCTGGGCTGCTTGCTGATTGCAGGTTCAAAGGTCTCACACACGCCCACACACACTGCGAATCGGCGGCTTGCCCTCGCACACGTCCTCTGAAACCGAAATGTTATAAAGTCTCCTAAGCGGAAACTCTGCCGAGAGCGTGAGAGATTAAACGGCGGCTTTAACGGTGTTTGCTGGTCACAGCTTATTCCATTCATATGACTGGGGATTTCTAGGGTTAAAGTTTTCAGTGAATGGATCCAAATACCAAGGCCCCTATGACCTCCCCCACCGTTGATTTAATGCACACACACCCCCCCCCCTTAATCCCAAAGAAATCCTCTCTGGCCTTAGTGGGGGTAAGTGGTGCCCCACAGATGAGTAGAACGGGGAGGTCTTCTCTCCACCATAGTGTTCCTCTTTCCTGACCCGTGACCG